CGACCCGTTAAGCTTAATTATGCAGGCTTGAAGAAGAGGAAACCAATGGAAAGAGCACCGCATGGCTCATGAAGAAGATCGAGAGCAACCAGTCAAAGATTCAGGACGGTTATAATCCTAGCAACTTCATGTTTTGTTGGCTTCTGGCATGCAAAGCTTCATGCAGGCCTGTGACGATGCCATCGACAATGCCGCTGCTGTGGTCAGGAAACACCAAAGCCGTCACGTGCTCGAACTCTCTAGGCTTCAGGTCTTAATCTAGGTACATTGTAGGCCATGCATGTTTTAGCCATGAAAGGAAGGATTGCAATAATGTATACATGCAAAAGGTCTTACAAAATGACTGCTCACTTTTCGTTCGCTCGCTAAGGTGAGAAGAAGAAGCTGGAAGCTGCCGCCATTTACGAGTGAGGGAACACTCTGGGGTTTAGGGTTTTGCAAAGCATTGCTCGTGGCTCATGAAACTGAGTTCCCTGCGAATGCCATTGCTCTTTGATCAGTTACGCAATCATGTTCGCCGACAGCCTGTGTTAGGCTAGGCTACGCGATCACAGGCTCGAAGTGACAGGTTCGCAAAAAGCTCCGAGTGCCAAGGCCTTCATGCATGCATTGAATGGCACGACTCTGCAGGCATGCATGCCCTATAGGGTTTAGGGTTTAGGGGTTAGGGGTTTAGGGTTGCTTTCAAGAAATGAGTGCTTGCATCATGCATATGCATACTTGAAATTTCGCATCAGAAATGCAATGACTGCTGTGCATATGTCTGTGCAAGAGTGAAGCACATGATGAAGCATGATTGGCATCGCTTCGCAGTCTTTTCAAGTTCGAGCCTCGCTGCCTGCCTGCTACATCATGGCCCGCAGCAGAACACCACCGAAAAAAAGATCGGAGCCTGGAAACGAGGAGACGAATGCGGAGCAACACCCTCCCGAGCGATTTCGTGGTAGCAGATCCCCCAGAATGCGGAGTGAATGGCGTTGGTGTTGGCGCTTTTCCGAAGGCACCTGGTGGTGGCAGTGGTGGATTCACCGACGGTGATTTTCAGAGGCTCATCTACCGTGGCCTTTCCGCATGCAATCGGTGCTGGACGCCAATTACAGTGGCCCCGGAGCTTAATGGTCCTATCCGCACGAAGCGCAAACGGACCTCTTCCGATGATGGTATGCAAGACTGAGTGCTGCGAGGATATTGAAATTCATTGCAATGACTTGCCTTATATGGCCTTGCTAAGAGCCCGTAGCTTCCTAGAAGCTCGTTCAGGCGAAAAACAGAGTGCTATGCTTATCGGCTAAATTCTCTGGATATTCTCATGCATGCAAACGACCTTCACCCAGTTCCCCCCGCAGGTCATGCCGCACCGGATTCGTTACATGGTCGGGCTGTCACAAAGCTGGTCACAGATTTCCTCGACATGCTGATGAAGGGCGAGGCATCGAACGGCATGCATGACTAAGCACCCCCTAAGCCCTCAACCGTACACGTCTCCAAAAGCATGCATGCATGCATGTCTGCAAAAGCATGCATGTATAGCTTATGGACCCCAAACCCCAACTTCTCAATCCTCAGCTGCACGCCTGCCTGGCCCGCATCATCCCAATGAAACCCGGACCCTGAACCCTATGCCCGTATAACCCTAAAGCATAATAAAGGCATCCATGAAGCGGCTGTCTCGGAGCCTGGAAAGTCTTCGTGAACTTCCTCGCTACCTGGTGCCACGGCGAATACTGAACCTGGCTGACTCGTTCCACCACGCCCACGGCTGGGCACTGGAACGAACTTTCAACAGATGGTGCCTCCAAATCCCTGCTCGTCAATGTCTGCCGGAACCTTTCGAGTGCTTGGATGCACATGATGTCAAAATTAGTTTTCTAATATGCTCTTAACATAATTCCATGCATGCATGCATGATTGGCATCTGCAGGTTCCGGGTGCCGAAGGCCCGGCTGAGGAAATTGCATTTCCAGTTTTGTCTGCAAGTTCACGCATGCATGCTATATAAATATAAATAAACAAACAAACACATATATATATATATAGATATAGATATAGATATCAAATGCAAGATTGCATCACGCATGCATGCATGCATGCATGCATGCATGCATGCATGAATGCATCTATTTGTATTGTAGACATGCATGATTGAAAGGTGGGAAGCCTGAAAGACACCCATGTCACTGTGGGTGTGCTTCTTCCCCACGAAGTCTTTGCTCATATGCACGACTTCGGGGGGAATCTGTTCCGCGACTTTCTCACCGGTACCCCAGAGGTGAGGGCTGGAAAAATATGGCATGCAACCTCCGATCCAGCCTCGTAGCTGCTGCAGGACCTCGAGAAGTTCTGGAATCAGAATGCCGACCTGTCGAACGAAGTTGCTGCAGCATGGGGTCCGCAGGCATCCATATGTCTTTCTGGCACACGCATGCCTGAAGATTCCAACAGGTCTCCTTCCGTAGGATCATGCCCTGGCGACTCTACGGCGACGGTGCCGAAGCATGGAGCTGGAATCTGAGAGCACCACGCCGTCCTGCAGAAATACGAAGAAGGTTTTTTGAACATCCTACTAAGGCAATGGCAGCTTCGAGCTCATCAGTCTTGTCTCGGTGTGCACCAAGAAGACCAGTTCTTTGGACACTCGCATTCCGTGCCATGGCTTGTATGTGCATGCATCTTGGTTGAGGTATAGTAATTAAGCTGCAAGGATATGTCTCCGCAATGCCATCACCACCAGCGAGGCCGAAGTCTGTGCAGGGCCGCTGCCATTGATCCTTATAATTTCAAACTACATATTATGGCAGGATGTCCGAGACCAGATCCTCGAGATCATTGCATGGTCTTTCCGCTGTCTGGGTGGCATGCATGCACATACTGATCGAGATAGGACCTGCATTCATGTATCATGCATGCATGCACGCATGTGGACGCCTTCATTGCCATTACTATGAATACATGCATGTATATGCATGATACCTACATGCATGAAGATCCAGGTCGTGGCCGCTGGCCTCGACGAGACCCTTTCGGCAATGAGTGGCCGCCAGGGCACAGGAAAAACCAAGCTGGCTTGGCTTTGGCCGGGGATTGGCGAGCAGTCTTTGCTGGTGTGCAAGGAGACCAGGACTGGTTTCACAAGATCTTTTACTTCAAGCGAGACTTATTTGCACAACTGAGAGATAGATAATATAGCTATATATATATATACAGATAGATCAGATTTTCTTTGCCTGTGTCTGTTTCTTCAGCTTAGGCTCTTGGCACAGCAAGAGGAAACAGTGTTGCCAGTACTGTGCGGCCACACAGTTTCTGGAACCCGGTGACAGCCACGAGATGCTGTACACAGAGTACGGTGAAAATTCCCATCATCGGAGAACGCATCTTGCAGCATGGTCCTCGTATGTATAGCACGCATGATCAAGAATATTTTATGTATTTTAAGTTGCATGTTGTTAACTCGCATCGAAGTAACATGCATGTTGTTGTCCAGGATCCTTCAGACACGGGCAGATTGGGAAGCCGTGCACTGTGCAACATGCATCACGAAATTGCTGGGTTTTTCACCCAAGCGACTCTTACCTGCAATTGCCGGTATAATTTTACGTGCCAACCTGTAAACCCTGTAAACCCTTGAACCTATATACTTTCCTTCAGGAGTTTTCCCAGATCTTCTGCACATCCTGGACTTGACAATCTCAGTCGATTGTATTACTTCGGCCCTGATGGATTTTTCAGACCCTGGCCAAGCACTCGGTCGTTCACGTGATGCTAGATTGCAGACGATCGCCCAGGAGTACACCGACTGGTGTCAGCGGGAAGGCGCAAATGACTATATATGTAGATATATTATAGTGCCTCCATACTTTTCCACCTCGGCCCCGTGTTGCCCGAATGTATTCATGTCAAGGTGTGCCGGACCGTGCCAATCCCAAGCTGTTCCTGTCAAAGACCTTGGGGGACAGCAAGGAATATCCTCACGCTTCGCAAAAGTTCATCAAGGCAGCTGCTTCTCGTTACATGGTCTACTTTATGTACGAGTTCTCCAAGAAAAAGCAGGATGACACTCGTGCCAGCCTTTTTGGAGCATTGTGCACCATGCTCACAGTGTTTGCTGAACATCCGTGTCTTTGCAAAAAATAGTTTTTTCCTGATGTTTTAATTATACAGTATCCTGATGGAATCCATGAACTCACACGCTTTCAGGCGCTACTGGGAACACGATGCCGAGGATTGCGAGAACCATCCAGAAATTCTTTGCAAGCGGGCATATATGCAGTACAGATGTATGTACGATGTCCTTGCCAGCGAAGCCCTGGAGAAGGGGATCTACAGGTATAGCTTGAGACCGAAAATGCACCAATTCGAACACCTGCAGCCGAGGTTGAAGAGCATCAGGTTATAGTTTGTCCTCTAGATTTTCACGCATTCATGCATGCACAAGGGTCCTCACACATATACATCTCGAACCCAGGATTCTGGACTGGGTTCCTGAAGCCGGGAATCCCCGGTTTTACAGTTGTTTCCTCGACGAGGATCTCAACGGCAAGTGCAAGCAGCACGCATGCATGCATGACTTATAATAATGCACTCATGAACCTATAACTCGATCGGTGCTATTATAAATGATCTGACCGAGGCGAATCGTCGAGCACACGCATCCTCGCACGATGAGTGTGAGGGCCTTGCAGCATTATTGCCTGCTGGTGGCCCTCCGTTGGGCCGGAGTCGACATGTCGTGACGTGCGGCGAAGGAAAAAAGCTGCAGCCGACCGCAATAGATATCTGCTGTTTCCTGTTCTGTCGCGAATCTAAAGCACATGGCATGCATGTTTTCTGCAAGATCTTACTTCGGGTGGATCATGTTTTGTTTTTTTTGCATGTCACGAGTTCTTCGTTGAAACTTGAGAGCTGCATCTTCTCCTGTTTTTGTTTTCGGCCGTTAACGTTTTCGATTCCTTCGCAAAAAAAAATACATGTATTTGCATGCTCGGAAACCCAAAAATGCACTATAAAGTCGGTTGACACAAGGGGCGCCCTATGATGTCGATTGACCTCTCCTGGAAGGGCTCCGGCACGTCTTGCAGACAGGACTTGCTCAGAACATTGCAACAAAACAGGCAGGGTTTCAGGCCGCTGGAACCCTTCACGCTCCAGGTGGCGCGCTGCGCGTCGCCGTCCGACACGAAGTAAGTCTTAGCACGTAGACTGCACCACTTCTGGCCGGACGGCAAGGAAAGGTAGAAGCCCGAGAGGTGCTTCTCGCAGTGGAGCTCTCGGCTCACGAGCGCCATGACTCGTGACATGCCGCCAGAGACTCTGTCCAGGTCTTGGTGCTGCACGATCCCGACGCAGAGCCACGCATTCTCGTTGCCAAGCGATGCATGCATCTCCGTCAGACTCGCGTACAGCAAGCAAACTTTGCCTGACTTCCTTGGAGCCAGAATGTTGCCACACGTCACCTCGTCGTGATATAGGATGCAAGTCACTCGCCCGCCATCGCTAGCAAGCGCTCGCTCCAAAACCGAGCTCCATTCCCGGGAGGTCCTTGCTGCTTCCTGCAGTAACTCCGGAAGATTGCCCAAGCAGAAACGAACTGCGCAGCCAGTCAAGGTGGGCAGTTCGTGTGTCTTGAAGCACCGCAAAGAATTCTCGTTGAGCTCTGCCGTGAAGTGCCGTGCGTCGTTCGCACTTCCGTGCGCAGCTCCCGGTCGCAGCTCGGAAGCTTTGTTCCAGATTTTGAGGACCGTTTGGTCCGAGCAGCTGGCACCCGTGTCGGCCAAGCATTCCTTGAGGTTGTCCTGTTCTGCCTGGCTAAGCTTTCTTTTGCGGCCCATGGGGAGCACAGTAGTTCTTCTTAATACTACACGTGAAGAAGAAACATCGACAATCTTAGATACAATGTGGAAGTTAAGATATATA